GTGAGACTCCAACTCAAAAAAAAAAAAGGTGTTGCATGGAAGTTTACTTCTAGGAGAATTTGCTTATTTCAGAATAAAATATGGTACTTACTCTGGGTCCCAAGGGCCCTTAAATGCTGTTCCCACAGGAAATGGAGTCCTAGGTTAAGTGCTGTGGGACTTCAGGAAGGGACTCCTGTTTGGAGGCCTAGGCATGTGCTTGAGAAGCCCTGAACTGGTAGCCTGCAGGCCAGGGTGCACATCCAGCCCCTCCACTGGCCTCTCTGAGCCCTAGGGTCCACCTCTGGGATTCAAACACCTCTTCAGGTGACATCTAGCAGCCAGAGGCTGCAGGAGTCAGGCACTGATGCATCAGAAGTACTAGATGTGGGGCAGCAGAAGCCTCAGAATGTGGAGGAGAGTTTAATACTTAAGGAGGCAGAAGTTGATGGACCTTAAGAAGCAAGGAGCTAGAGTTCTGATCCTTTCCCTAGGAATTAACTGGGCCAGGGCAGGGGTAGAGGTGAAGTGTAAGTGTCCACGAGGTGTGGATGTTGACAGCAATGCTTTCTTCAGCTAGTTTTTGCAACTCACTGTGATTATTTTTGGAGCCAGTAATCATGTACACAATCACACCCTGAAATTACATGGTTACCTTGGCCAGTCTGTTGACATATGCAGATTAGGCATTTGTGAGACCAGAGACTTGTAGGGGAGGTGTGGATTTTGGGTAAAGGAGAATCCCTTAGAGAAAAGTAGGAGTGTCTCCAGTTCTGCCTTCAGTGAAGGTACATTGCAGGGCTTGTCCTTTGTAGCGTCTTCATGGTTCTGTGGAATTTCAGCTAGCCTCTGGTTTATTGAATAGACTGTCTCCCAACCCTCAGCAGGGGTGTATGACATCTGGTGAGTCCTTATCTGGATAAAGAAAGTGGGGGTGAACTGTCATCACTAAGGTTTTTTTCTGGCTTAGACTTTGTAAAGTTTCTGCCCAAGAGCCAGGAATGGAGAAGAGGGTAACAATCTTACCCCTTATTGTGGAAACCTGTTGAGAATCACAGAGAATATGCTGAAGGCATAAATGATAGAAAGGACAAAATAGGAAAGTGTGGTAAGTCAAGGAAGAACTTTGGGAGAGATGAATTTTGCATTGGATCTGGCAGAATTGTGTGTGGGGAAAGGGAACAGTTATTCTGGTCTGCTCATATCTCTCACATTCAACCTCATTTCTCCTAATTTTGAAATCTTGAGATCCTCCTTCTATCACTAAAAAGGAAAACTGCTGTCCTACTGGGATGCTTTATTGCTCACCCCATGTATAAAAGTTTGTCATAGCTGAGGCTAGGGAGCTTTCAGTCAGTATCAGCAGAATATATGCCCCTTTTCTTTTGTCAGCACTACTTAGTTTACAAAGCCCTTCCATGTAGATGACCTCATCTGAGCTTCCTAACAAAGGAGCTGGTATTAGACCCCATTTTACAGTGTGCTTGGGTAGGGAAGAGAGTGTAATGGATTGGGTGGAGGCCTTGGCACCAGACTCTGCTTCCTAACCATGTGCTCTTAGGCAAGTTGCTTAACTCTGTGAGCCTCAGTTTCCTTAGAAGAGCATTCTGAGCATGAACTATCATAAGATGTATAAATGGCAGATATGGTGAGTCCTAAATAAATGCTATTGCCAAGAAGTTGTTTGTCACCTGGTTATTGGGTTCCAGTGCCCAAACTCGAACTTGGATTGTTTGCCCGCGGATTTTTACCTCCGGATTTATTTGCATTCAGCAGGTCCACAGTAAGCCATCTTTCAATATACATGCTATAATATGTTCAAGATAGAGTCTGTATAACCAAGCAATGTGACTGGATGTAGAGGCGGTACTGTGTCTTGTTTGTGTAGTGTGGCAGACTCTCAAAAACAAATGTTTCTGTACAATTAACATTGTCTTAGTTCCTCTGAATCCATTTATTTGTTCAATAAATGTGTATTGACCTACAAGGTGTTTCACATTGTGATCGCTATACCAATGATTTAATCATTTTTGGTGGTTACAGACCCTTTTAAGAATCTGATAAACAGCCGGGCTCGGTGGCCCAGCCTGTAATCCCGTGCCTTTGGGAGGCTAAGGTGAGTGGATTGCCTGAGCCCGCGGGTTCGAGACCTGCCTGGGCAGTGAGACCTCATCTCTACAATAAATAAAAAAATCAGCAGGGTGTGGTAGTGCATGCCTGTAATTCCACCTACTCGGAAGGCTGAGGCCTGGCTACTCGGAAGGCTGAGGCGGAAGGATCGCTGGAGCCCAGCAGGCAAGGCTGCAGTGGCTGGGAGTGGCCACTGCACTTCCAGTCTGGGCAACCAAGTGAGACTCCAACTCAAAAAAAAGAGAATGTGATAAAGTATAACCCTCCCAGGAGTAGGAAAACTGCCTGGGGACAGGGGGGCACACCTCATCAACAAGGGTACCTTACCTGCACAATGAATATTTGTATACCTAACCCTGAATTGTACCCCACAATTTTAAAATAAAAAATTTTAAGGTGAAAAAACAAGACAAAAAACTAGCCCTTCTCTCCAGGAAACTTCCAACTTTTACTTTTTTGCTGAACCATTTCAATTGAAGATGTGGTCACGAAGCTCTAAATTCTGCAACACAAATTGCTTAAAAATACAAACATTCGGCCAGGGTCGGTGGCTCAGCCTGTAATCCCAGCACTTTGGGAGGCCGAGGCGGGTGAATTGCCTGAGCCTACAGGTTCGAGACCTGCCTGGGCAACTTGATGAGACCTCATCTCTACAATAAATTGAAAATTAGCTGGGTGTGGTAGTGCACGCCTGTAGTTCCGGCTACTTGGAAGGCTGAGGTGGAAAGATTGCCGAAGCCCAGCAGGTCAAGGCTGCTGTGGCTGTGAGCGTGCCACTGCACTCCAGTCTGGGCGACAGAGTGAAACTCTAACTCAAAAAAAAAAGAAAGAAAGAAAACACAAACATTCTCATATATAACCTTATCATATATGATTTCTTAATATGATCCAGTACTCAGTCTATTTTCAAATTTCCTCTGATAGTCCCAAGACTGTTTTTATAGCCCCCCCCAAACAGATCAAATCAAGATTCACACATTGCTTTTGGTTATTATTTTGCTTTAGTCTTTTAAAATCAAGAACAATCTTTAAAAATTTTTTATGACACTGACTTTTTAAAAGACCAAGCAGCTTTTTTGAATTCACATAACCTGAATTTATCTTGTTATTTCCTTGTGGTGTGGTGTAGCTCCTCTATCAGCACCTTTTTAGTTGTAACATGCTGCAAAGTGTTTCTTTATCCCTCACATTCTCTGTAAACTGGAAGTTAGATATAAAGTCTTGTCTAGATTTATTCAGGTCAACATTTTTAGCATGAAAACTTCGTAGGTGATGCTGTGCAATTCACGTTGTGCCATGCTGGGAAACAAATGCCACTTTCGTCCCTCTGTTGGTGATGCTGGATTTGGTCACTTGGTTAAGGTGACTACTAGATCTCTCCTTCATCAAGGTACCATAGGAAATAATTAAATGGGTGGTACTTTGGCACTAAGGGGACTGTCCTGTCCCCTAAGATTTTTTACCTGTTGGGTTTAGCATCTGTTGATGATCCTTGTTATTATAATGGCAGTTGCACAATGATTTTCTAATTTTATTATCCCTCTTCTACTTATTAGCTAATATTCTTCTGTTATCCCTGTACAGTTTTTATTTACTTAGTACATATACAATAATTTTTATGCTTTTCAGGAGTTTAAAGACCATCAAAACCCAGAATGGAGCCTAGGTTAATGTTGGTTCCAAGTGATGATGTTGTCATATTTTGTGTGGAAGGAGAGCTGTAGCTGAGTTGTTCATAGGTTTTTAAATTCTTCCAGTGAGTTGCAAAATAAATTTCCAATCCCAAAGATAACAGATGTCTCTCAACAACAACAAACCTTAGTATTCAAACTTCCAGGTCATTCAACAAAGTGACATGATAAATGGCTTCCAACCTCACAGGAACCACGCAGTACCTTTCCTTTTCCTCTTTCCAAACCCTTGCAATATAGTACAACTGAAAGAGTGCTGGGCTGGGTTTATTTTCTCAACAGTAAAACCAAAAAGTTGCACCAGGCAATTAGCATTTCTACGAGTCTTCCTAACATTCAAGGAACTTGATATTACTTTCATTTGACAAATTCCTTGATCCCTTCATTTGAGCTTTGCCTGCATGTGTTTTTTTCACCTCATTACATCTTCTTTTTTTTTTTTTTTTTTTTGAGTTGGAGTGTCACTCTGTCATCCAGACTAGAGTGCAGTGGTATGCTCACAGCCGCCAAATCCTTGACGTCCTGGGCTCAGGCTATCCTTCTATCTCAGTCTTCCAAGTAGCTGGAACTACAGGCGTGCACCACAACACACGGCTAATTTTTTATATTTATTGTAGAGACAAGGTCTTGCCAAGTTGCCTAGGCTGGTCTCAAACCCCTGGGCTCAGATAATTCTCTCACCTCTGTCTCCCAAAGTATTGGAATTACAGCTTGAGCCACCGCGCCCAGCCTATTACATCTCTTAAAGTCACACATATCTAGGTCTGTTAGTGCTTCCAATTGGAATTTATTATCAGCACTAAAATAATTCCTTATATTTGTATAATTCTTTCACTTTGTAAAGCACTTTTCATACACTATTGTATTAGATCCTCAAGGAGTAGACATTATATTCTTATTTTGTTTTCTCTTGGGTCTTACAGATTGGGGATTTTATTTCCATACCATTAATATCACTACTGACAAAGGCCACTGGACTCTGTTGTGATGAACTTTCACTGCCCATGATCATTATTATTATTGATTTGCCTTTGATTCCAGTTGCTTCATTCCAGCCTCGCTGTTACCTTTGTGCCCTGTTGGCTGTCTTCCCAGGACTGCTCTAGTTGTCTTCCATGGACCTAAGGCAGAGCAAATCCTCTAGCCCCACCCTGTGGGGACCTTGTTTGGTTTAACTCTGCAGCACATGTGCCACTGTGGCTGGTTGTGCTCACTTCCTCTCTTGCTGCCACTTTCAACTTCAACAATTGCTTTGTTATTTGAGCACTCAAGAGGATTTGGGAACCAAGGATCCTGAGTTCTCTCCTATATTTTCTTCTGTGTATCAAGCTTTCGCTTAGTACTTTTCAACTAATTCTTTCACATGACCTACTTAGAAACCCTTGGAGGGAAGTATCACTCTCGCTACTTTATGGATGGGTAAACTGAGGCTCAGTACTTAAATGTCTTCTCTGTTGTCACACAAAGCAGGGACAGGAGGCTGCTGTCGGGTTAGATGTGTTGAGGCTTGTAACCTCAGCCGGAACTGGGCCACCCCTGCAAAAGTAAACAGGAGCAGAGTTCTTTCTGTGCTTAGCTTTCATGCTACCTGTAGGGGTCAAGTCCTCATCAGCACATACATAGCAGCCATTGCCACCTGAGGATTCTTCTCATACTTGTTTCCCTCAAGAACTCAGTTAGATGGGGAAATTGTAAGCAAGAATGAGCCCTTTGCGGCCAAACTGCTCCTCTGGCAGGCTGAGTTTAGATAGAGCCCAGCTTTCTGGGGGAAGTAAATCAAGCCAAACTGCAGAACACCCAGGGAGACACTCAAAGGGAGACATCAACCCTCAGATTCCTGATGCTTCCTGATGCTTTTTGAATCTTGATAAAAATCTGCAGTGCTCTTAGTTCTTGAAAACTGAAACCTAGAGGAGCAAACAAAGGGAGTCTTGACTCTATCAGGACCCCTGTGGGTGGTTGTCCATCTCGTCTACTACATAACTGTGGGAGTAGCATGTCCATAGTAGACATTGTAGATTTATATATTTTTACTATAAAAGTTTTCTAGTAGATAGTGATCAGTTGTTCTATTATACTTAGTGCATTAGAGCTATTTCCCAACAGATGGGCAGAAAAGGTCTTCAGGCTTTCCCAGCAGCAAGGGATGAGCTAGTGAGAGCCCTGTTCTTCACTCTACAAGCTCTTCTCTCTGGGCCTCTGTTTCTTCATCTATGAAATGAGGGGGTTGGACTAGATTGGTAAGGTCCCTTTCACTCTGACATTATGTGGGCTTTGTAGGAGCTGGGGATGTCTGGAGCTTGACTGAGTGCTGGAGCTGGCAGCCCTGTGCAAGGCTGCCACCTCTGCCCCTTTCCTGTGCCTGCTGTTGACTCCATGTCTGGTCCCCAAGGAAGCCCCACCAGTGAACGGAGACCCTCGAAGCTCAGGGCGCCATGGCCACTTCAGCCCCACTACGGAGCCTGGAGGAGGAGGTGACCTGTTCCATCTGCCTCGATTACCTGCGGGACCCCGTGACCATTGACTGTGGCCACGTCTTCTGCCGTAGCTGCACCACCGATGTGCGCCCCATCTCAGGGGGCCGCCCTGTCTGCCCACTCTGCAAGAAGCCTTTCAAGAAGGAGAACATTCGACCTGTATGGCAGCTGGCCAGCCTGGTGGAAAACATTGAGCGACTGAAGGTGGACAAGAGCAGGCAGCCGGGAGAGGTGGCCCGGGAGCAGCAGGATGCCAAGTTGTGTGAGCGGCACCGGGAGAAGCTGCATTACTACTGCGAGGATGATGGGAAGCTGCTGTGCGTGATGTGCCGGGAGTCCCGGGAGCACAGACCCCACACGGCCGTCCTCATGGAGAAGGCCGCCCAGCCCCACAGGGTAAGCCATCCTCACCCCGAGGGTGCCCTGATGCATTCTTGGGATGCTCCACCTGTGGCCCTTTGGAGCCAAGGCCTGAGCCACCCTCCTGTTCCTACTCCAGAGCATCCACCTGTCCCCACTGTTTGTCTTTCCACAGGAAAAAATCCTGAACCACCTGAGTACCCTCAGGAGAGACAGAGACAAAATACAGGGCTTCCAGGCGAAGGGAGAAGCTGATATCCTGGCTGCACTGGTAAGGAGGCTGTTAGAGGAAGCCCTGTGGCAGTTTGCCTGTGTGAACCTTGGCGAGTAGATGGCAGCTCAGAGGTTTCAAGGAGCCACTCACAGGGAGGGTGAGTGTCGGGTTGGCAGCAGCAGACCTGGATTTTAGCCTACATTCTGTCTATCTGTGACCTTGGGTCTGTTTCTTATCTGAGAGGTGAGTGGGTCACTGGATGTTAGCCAGGATCTCTTCTCTTTTCTGGGTGGAGAAAAACATGCCATCACAGGACCATCTAACAAGTCATCTCAGCAGTAGGACCTGTGTCCAGCAGCTGTTACTCTTCTGCCAGGGGATTGAAGAGGCCTGATTTCATTCATTCTCCTTTCTTTCTTTTCTTTTTTTTTTTTTTTTAAGTTAAAGTCTCACTCTGTCGCCCAGAGTGGAGTGACTGCTGGGGTCAGCAATCCTTCCACCTCAACCTTCCTAGTAGCAGCTGAAACTACAGGCGCGTGCCAACATGCCCAGCTAACTTTTCTTGATTTATTGTAGAGGTGAGGTCTCACCAAGTTGCCCAGGCTGGTCTTGAACCCCTGAGCTCAGGCAGTCCTCTCACCTCAGTCTCCCAAAGTGCTGAGATTACAGGCTTGAGCTACCGTGCCCGGTGTTTGTTTGTTTTGTTTTGTTTTTCAATTGGAGTCTCACTCTGTTGCCCAGGCTAGAGTGCCATGGCACTCTCATGGCCACCAAAGCCTCAACCTGCTGGGCTCAGGTGATCCTTCTTTCTCAGCTTTCCAGGTAGCTGGAACTACAGGTGTGTGCCACCATGCGTGGCTAGCTTTTTTTGATTTATTGTAGAGACATGGTCTTGCCAAGTTGCCCAGGTTGGTCCCTAACCCCTGGGCTCAAGTAGTCCTCTCACCTCTGCCTCCCACAGTGCTGTGTTTATAGGTGTGAGCCACTGTGTCCAGCCTCATTCTCCTTTCAGAGAGGGGGAGAAAAACATGATTGCCTGAGAGTGGAGAGGAGCCAGAGGGCTTAGAAGCAGGGAGCTGGCTCCAGGGTAAGAACTGCGAGTAAGGCAGGGCTAACCTGCTGTGACAGTGCTGTGTCTAGTGAGGGCCGGGCCTGGGGTTGTGGTTGCCAGTACAGTCAACCCTCTGTATCCAGGGGTTCCACATCCAGGTATTCAACCAGCCATGGATCTGAAATATTCAGAAAAAGGAAAGAGCATCTCTACTGAACATATACAAACTTTTTTCTTGTCGTTATTCCCTAAACAATACAGTATAGCAACTACTTACATAGTATTTACATTGTATTAGGTATTAAAAATAATCTAGAAGTGATTTAAAGTATATAGGAGGGTGTATGTAGGTTATATATACTAGTACTATGCCATTTTATATAAGGGACTTGAACATCAGATTTTGGTATCCTTGGGGGCGGGGGGTCCAATCGCCTACTGGTACTAAGAGACTACTATAGTTAGAAAACAGGCAGCACAGTGTTTGCTTGATTAGAGATGGAATCAGGAGGGAAAAAAACTAATAAGATGGTTCCAATTTTATGGGAGTGTGTGTTGGGGAAGTGGTCAGTGGAGGGATGCTAGGGCTAGGCCCAACAGTGAGTAATTAGGCCCAGAGAGTGGGAGAGAGTAAAGTAAGATATGGTCCAAGTCCAGGGATCCCTCCAGGCCCTCAGTGTGCCTGGATGCCTCCAGCCCAACACCAGTCAACAGGAGCACTGAGGACTCCAGCAGGGCCCTAGCCTGGGCAGGCAATTTGGAGGCAGGAAAGGACATGGTCCCTGAACACAGATGTTCCACAGTTTAGCTGAGGAAACAGAATACAGTATACAGTCCTACGTGGCAGGGATGGAGGTGTATTGAGATATTTTAGATCTAATGGTAGGGTGCTGAAGAGAGGCTTGATCAGGCTTAGATGATATTATTCAAGCAAGACTTCCTGGAAGAGGCTATATATGGAGACTTGTCCAGGAGGGACTGTGTGTTGGGGAAGTGGGCTCATGAGTAAGACCCACAGTAAGTTGTTGGGAGCCAGCCTTGGAGGCCCGCCTGATGACAAAGTCCAGGTGCGCTGAGGACCCCCGGCCGCAAAGCGAGTCCGGGCAGCTGAGGCCCTTCTGTCTTCCGTCTTTGCTGTTGGTACAGCTAAAAAAATTCTGTACAGTCATGGAAGAAGAAGATGACATGTTTATGCGAAGAATCACAGCTAACCTAAAAATATCATGGTTTATTTTTCCATTTTTCCCACTATGCCACTTGGCCTTTTCTAACATATACAAGGGTTAAACTCTGAAACACATCAAAAATACTTTCTTTCACTTGGTTATAAGTTACTAGATATTACTTAAATAATAAATGATATAAGTATATCCACTCCTTATTTGATTTAGGATTATACAGTTTAGTGTTTAAACATAAAAATTTTTAAAAACACAAGTTTATAATAGTTTATTATTTTAACACTTATCTAGGAGTTTGTAGGTGATTTATAACACTGTTTTCACTAACTTAGGATAAAGATTAATATTAAGGTTTCTACTTAATTCTATAGTTAAACTCTAAGTTAACATTTATAGAGTAGGTTTTCACTGAACTCAGAATATAATAATCAGACACTTTTATGACAGATCAGCTAAAACAGAAAGTAACCTTGAGGGGCCTAAAAAACATTACTAAAAGCTTCTTTTGAGTTCTCTTTAAAAACAAACACTACAAGATAAGAGAAAAGTAACAAGAACATCTGGACAAGGGAGGCGATCACAAGACTCTAAAGAATATAAGAGCCTAAAATAAAAATATTCCTGACACATAAAAAAATATACACTTAAAAAAACTTTCTTGAAACATTTGTAATTTGGGACATTAGACTGAAAATATCATTATTGGCTTTATAAATAAGACGTTGTCTGGAGAGCTATGGAAATCTTGGTTTGTTTACTACTAAGACCTATAAAAATCTTAGTTTGTTCACTACTAAGACCACTAACTGGTAACTTTTAAAAGATATGAATATGAAAGAATTTTCTTTGTCTTGCCCCTTCAAAAATGGTATAAAAGCTCTGTATTAACTAGCATTAAATTGTCATCTGTTCAAAAAACAAGTTCAAAAAACAAGTATATGATCGTCGTTCGCCTATCCGTCTCTCCTTCAACACTTCCCACGACCCTTGTGGGGCTGGCCCCCGCAGTAAGTTCCTCCAAGGGCCCCAGAACATACTGGTTTACCTAGAACAGACCATGACTGACCAGTCAGGCAAAGTCAGGGTTCTGATCATGCAGTGACTGAGTGAACTGAACCAATTCACTACTTGTGTCATCTTTGAGAAGGGTGGACCAGGAGCCATCTATAGTTTCTCCCACTCCAGATGCTGTAGAATTCATGAGTGGGGTAACAATGAGAAAGAGCCAGCCTGGTGTCCCTCCAACACTGTGTCTTCCACCTCAAGGTGGAAATGTCAGCCTTTCCCCCCTTCCTACCCTCTGCAGAAGAAGCTCCAGGACCAGAGGCAGTACATCGTGGCTAAGTTTGAGGAGGGCCATCAGTTCCTGAGGGAGCGGGAGCAGCACCTGCTGGATCAGCTAGCAAAGTTGGAGCAGGAGCTCACAGAGGGCAGGGAGAAGTTCAACACTCGAGGCGTCGGGGAGCTCGCCCGGCTGGCACTGTTCATCTCTGAGCTCGAGGGCAAGGCACATCAGCCGGCTGCAGAGCTCATGCAGGTGAGAGACCCTCTCAGGGCAAGGAGCCAGGAGACCAGCGCGGTGAGTCTCAGCCCTGCCATTCCCTTGTGGGGCCTTCAGAGAGTCACTTCCTCTTGGGGCCTCAATTTCCTCATCTGAAACATGGGGATGACAATCCTTACTATCTCTACTTCATCCATGGATTACATGAGCATAAAATGAGATAACTGCATGGTCTCATTTCAAAAGGTAAATTATCTTTTTTTGTTGTTTTTTTAAGTCAGAGTCTCACTCTCACACAGGCTGAGATACAGTGGCATACCCATGGCCACCGAGCCTCAACCTGCTGGGCTCAGGTGATACTTCTGCCTCAGCCTTCCAAGTAGCTGGAACTATAGGTGCGCACCACCACACCCAGCTAATTTTTTAATTTGTTGTAGAGACAAGGTCTCACCAAGTTGCCCAGGCTGGTCTCGAACCTGCAGGCAATCCACTCGCCTCCGCCTCCCAAAGTGTTGGGATTACAGGTGTGAGCCACCACACCTGGCCCAAAAAGTAAATTTTCTACAAAAAAAAAAAAAAAGTTTAGAAATTTCAGTAGAAGTAGAAGGGAGGTTATATATCATTACTATACTTATCACTGCCATTATGGGGCCCATCTAACAAGTCACTGGCAGACATTTGTTCAGGGGAAGCTTTTAATTGTGTCTTGGTTGCAGGGAGCTGAAGGAGGGGTGACTGGTGACTCTTCTCAAAGACCCAGAGGAGATGGGCAACTGGGGAAGGGAGACAGAGATAGTGTGGTTTTCTCTGGAATTACAGAGACCCAGATAGAGAGTGAGTGTCTTAGGGTGTTGGAGGAGGGGGCCTTAATGCTGAGAAAGGGAGAGTTTGGGGCTGGAGAACAGGCTGTGAAGCTGAAATAATACCATGTATCCTTCCTCCTGGATCGTCTCAGAAAATCACACTGCCCTGAAAAGGGCTCAGGAGACTTTGGAGGTGTGGGTGACTCAATTTTCCCACCCTCACAGTCTAGAAGAGAAAGGGCTTTCTGATGTTCTCCCCCGGCTTGCACTGTTTGTTTTTGTCTGTCAGCAGAAGAGCAACTCAGGATCTCTAGGACAGTGGGTTCCTAGGGCAGCAGGGCAAATCAATAGCCAGGAGGGGAGAGATGACAAGACAAGTTCCCCAATATGTGTGCTATGGTATTGGTATAAAAACAGACATATAGACCAATGGAACAGAATAGAGAACACAGAAATAAATCCACATATTTATAGCCAACTGAGTTTCAACAAAGAAACCAAGAACATACACTGGGAAAGGACAGTCTCTTTAATAAATGGTGCTGGGAAAACTGTATAACCAGCCATGTACAGAAGAATGATACTGGTGGCTTTTGTCTGTGTGTTTGTTTGAGTTTGTTTTTGCTGCAAGAGAACTGGGCAGCTAATTTCTTAGTTATCATTAATATTTTCCCAGCGATTATTTGGCTGCCAAAGGATAGTAAGAAAAAGACCCAAATCGGTTCAAAAGTCTGATAAAGAAATACAAGTGAGAGGGATAAGCAGGATAAAGTGTATAAAACAGAAGAGACCTTTTGATAAAAGTGATAGAAAAGGAAAGAAAGACCTGGACTGGGTGCCCAGGAAGGTTAAGGGGACTGGGGTGATAGAGACCCAGAGAGATGCTGCATCCTCCTCAGGTTAGCCCTGCAGGATCAACTGGCAGGCCTGCACTTTGCCCTTTCTATTCCTGTGATGCTCTTTATTAATGGCTAGGCATACCCTATGTTGGAGATGCCATGATTCACTGCCCCAGCCTCCCTGATCTGCTCTGATTGTTTCACAACAGCCCCGGGAGTAGTGGGTGTGAACAGTCCTCCCGCAACCTTGGGCAGATTGCTTCCCTCCAGAGGCCCGTGTGTGGCTGTACATGGGGACTCACCTGCTTTCTTGCCCCTTTTCTTGACTGGACTAGGCCTGCCTGGTGCTCAGGACTCCATTCTCTCTGGACTATTTACGACATTTATTTATTTATTTTGAGTTGGAGTCTCACTCTGTTGCCCAGGCTGGAGGGCAGTAGCATGCTCAGGGGCACCGCAGCCTCGACCTGCTGGGCTCAGGCGATCCTTCTGCCTCAGCCTTTCAAGTAGCTGGAACTACAGGCATGTACCACCATGCCTGGCTAATTTTTTGATGTATTGTAGAGATGAGGTCTCCCCAAGTTGCCCAGGCTGGTCTCGAACCCACGAGCTCAGGCAATCCTCTCACCTCAGCCTCCCAAAGTGCTAGGATTATAGGCATGAGCCACCAAGCACGGCCTGTTTACAACATTTAACCCTCAGAGGACCCCTCTTTTTCCTGTATGATTCCCTTCCTTTCTACTGTGCTAGCAACTCCCATGTCAGGAAATACACCCAGTTGAATCCCTAGTCCCTGCCCCAGCTACTGCTCCATTCATTTGCTCTTTTATGTCACCTTTCTCAGCAGAATTGTTAGCACTCACTGCCTGTTTTGTCACCCCATCTTCAACTGCCTTGGACTTACTTGTTTTGAGGGGCATGTTAGAGGGATTTGCTAGAAACTCACAAGTCTCTGGGCAGTTGCTTCATAGTGGGGGACAGGACGTAACTCTGACTTGTCTTGCCTTCTCTGGAGCAAAACTTGTAGTTCTTTCCGAACTTTCTGAAGCTGTCATCAGCAGCCACAATTTGGTGATTCCATTTGTTTCCCAAATCTCATCTTCTCTAAGAGGCCTGTCCCTGGCTTGCCTCTGCCTCCGTCCCCCTTTATTTTGCTCTCTTTTGTCCATAGCACTTATCACTTACATAATATGATGTAGCCGGGCTCGGTGGCTCAGCCTGTAATCCCGCGCCTTTGGGAGGCTGAGGTGAGTGGATTGCCTGAGCCCGCGGGTTCGAGACCCACCTGGGCAGATGAGACCTCATCTCTACAATAAATCAAAAAATCAGCCGGGCGTGGTAGCGTGCGTGCCTGTAGTTCCAGCTACTTGGAAGGCTGAGGCGGCAGGATCACCGGAGCCCAGCAAGTCGAGGCTGCAGTGGCCGGGAGCGGCCACTGCACTCCAGTCTGGACGACAGAGTGAGACTCCAACTCAAAAAAAAAAAAAAAAAAAAAAAACATAATATGATGTATTTGTTACATTGATCATTTGTTGCCTGCTTCTCCTGCTGGAATGTGGCTTCACACACATAGAGGAGTTTTGTGTCTTTCTCTCGCTTTTTTTCCTTTTCTATAATTCTGGTCGCTTCTAGATCAGTACATGGTATGTAGGAAGCACTTAATAAATATTTGTGGAATGAGTGGGAAAAAGGCAAAAATCAGTTAATACGATGTATTATGGAAGCTTTTGCCTCGAGGGAATCTAAGCAGCATCTTAGAGCCCCCTTCTTACTCGCCTTTCAACAGGCCGTGTCTATCTCAAATTTCTCCTACGTGGGAGCTTGCCTGTGTTATCACCTGTCCCATCATCTGACAGTTGGTCTACAGAATAGCACCTTCTGCCAGAATTCCAGACCACTTGTTTTTCCAGTCAGCACCACTGCTCTCCCTCCTGCCCATGCTATGGCCTCTCCTTGATTTTCCTTGACTGATATATCCAGTTGAGTCTTTCTCCAAAAACAGACTTGAAATAATGCTGCTTCTCGTTTCTGTTTCCACTGCTCCCACCCTAGTTCAGGCCATCTTTATCTCTTCCCTGATTCACAGGAACAGCCTCTAGACCAACCTCCCCATGTTTGTGTTGCCTCCCTGAATTCATTCTCTACTGGGCAACCAAAATGATTGGTCACTTAACATTTGGGCTAGCTGCTGGAGAGTGACTCAAACAAAACAGAAGTTTAATATCTGTCTCAGTAACATTTCAGAGGTGGGGGGTCTCTAGAGCTGTCATGGTGGCTTCCTTGTAATTGGTTCACTGATTTCTAAGGATGTTGTCCTCAACTGTGTGTCAGAGCTGAGTTCACCATTACCATGTCCAAAACTTGGCCAGAGGAAGAAGAGAAAGTAGAAAGCAATTTTCTTTTTTAAAGGGCAAGACCCAGAAATTGTAGTCATCGGTTTCTTTCATATACCATTGGCTGGAACTTACTCACATGACCAGACCTGGTTGCAGAAGATCTGGGAAATGTAGTTTCCTAGGTGGCCATCTGACCAGCTATAACTCTAGGGGGTCTTTATTAAAAGCAAGAAGGGAAGAATGGAGGATCTTACTCAGTCTCAGCCACATATAAAGCAGATCATGCATATCATTCCCCGCCTTGAAATCCTTTGGTGACTTTCCACTGTACATGGAACAAAACTCAAACTCCTTACCACATATACTCAGCCCTACATGATATGGCCCTTGCCTCTTTCACCATGCCCCTTCTCATTTCACCATCTTAACCCTCTTTACCTGGCCAGGGTTCTCATCCTTCAATTTTCTGCTCAAGTGTCTCCCAGAGAGGTTGGCCCTGTCATCTCCCACCCCTGGTGGCTTATGTCACTGTGATTAATTTGTTTGTTTTCTTGTTGCTTTATCCAGTGCCCACCCCCCCCCGAATGTCGGCTCCTTAAGGAAGAGACCATGTTTTGTTCACTGATGTGTCCCGCTTCTAATACAGTGTTGGGTACATATCAGTTGAAATCGTACTTGATTCACATTGATGCTTGTGCTTTCTTCTCTTCTAGGACACCAGAGAGTTCCTAAACAGGTAAAGAGTTTCCTCTCCACTGTGTACCTCATTCCCTTGTGGCTATTTTCCTTCCCCTTCTCCTAACCAGGTCCATTTGAATTAATGGAAAACAAAATGGTGCTAGAGGTACCTGCATCCCATGGTTCATCCTGATGCCCTTCGGAGAAACAGAAACACATCCTTGAGAACTGGAGACTTGCTTTCCACCTGAGCAAGTTCTCTGTGTAACCCCAACTCTTTGGCCCATGGTCCTTATTTGAGGTGGGACAGAGTGGCGAGGGTAGAAATATGGCTTAGTAGACAAAGCACTCTGGATGTGGAGTCTGTTGATAGTTTTAAGTCCTGGTTTCACTGGTGTCATTGGACCCCTGTTTTTCTGTCACTTGTGTGGGAATAATCATACCTTTCTGTTCCCTTTTTAATGGTCTTGAAGATTGAGAGATAAGTATGAAGAAAAGTAAGAAGAGCTAAGTAAAAAGTTTTTATGTTTGTCATCTTAGGTATCCACGGAAGAAGTTCTGGATCGGGAAACCCATCACTCGGGTAGTTAAAAAGAAAACTGGAGAATTCTCAGATAAAGTTCTTTCTCTGCAGCGAGGCCTGAGGGAATTCCAAGGTAAGGATTGGAGAGAGCACTAGAGTGGGAGTCAGAGCAGGACTAGCACTTAGAGGGAGGGTGCCTGACTCCTTTCTACCGTATTCTCTAGACTCACTCTCCTGAGGGTCTCCTGGTTGTTGTCTTGGGGATAGAGCCCTGTCAGGAAATTAATAACACCCAAGTAAGAAATGGGCCCATCGGTTGCTGGGCTTGAGGGTCACTGCTATCCTTTTTTCTCCCCAGGGAAGCTGCTGAGAGACTTGGAATATAAGACAGGTAAGTGTTCAAAGGGTTTTTCCCAGATGTACATCAAGTATAGGAAACTTTCCTGGCCAGGCACAGTGGCTCATGCCTATAATCCTAGCATTTTGGAAGGCCAAGGTGAGAGGATTGCCTGAACCCACGGGTTTGAGACCAGCCTGGGCAACTTGGTGAGACCTCATCTCTACAATAAATCAAAAAATTAGCCAGGCATGGTGATGCATGCCTGTAGTCGTGGTTGATGCGTGATTGTAGTTCCAGCTACTTGGAAGACTGATGTGGAAGGATCGTCTGAGCCCAGCAGGTTGAGGCTGCAGTGTCCATGAGCATGCCACTGTACTCTAGCCTGGGCGACAGAGTAAGACTCTGACTCAAAAAAAAAAGAGAAAGAAAACTTTCCCTGCAGAAATCGTGACTGCCCCAGGTAGCCCCTCTTCTGTTTTGCAGCAGGAAGAATTTCCCAGCAACAGACCAGAAGCTCCCTCCCTCCTTGTGTTTTCTGACCAGTCTACTCTTTAGTCTGCAGTAGAGACCTACACTTGCTCATCTGACCCTTCTCTGCCCCATATTTCGTTACTGTAGCCTCTCAGGTCTTTTCACTGGTCCTATCTCTGTGGCCAAGTTTCCTCTCATCTGCCTGGCCACATGACTTTATATTCAGGGCCAACAGCAGTGGCAATCTAAGGCCAGAGGCCATCTCTGCCTTAGGCTTTACTATTGTGCTCCCTTTCAGCCCTGTGGGTAGGTTGTACATGTATACCACTAAGGGCACCATAGACCAAGATGTGAAAACACCCTTGAATTGTGGAAACTGGTAGCCCCCTCCTGGGCCACTCTTGTACTTGCTCTCCTGAGAACATTTGAGGAGGTCAGGCCTGCTCAGACCTGAGGCCCCTGAGAACTCCATCTAGTTAGTTCATAGGATAAAATCCCACAGCAGAACTTGGAGTCAGCAATGACTAAACCCCAGGTGATTGTAGCTCTTTTAGTCTGTCTGTGAATACCCCCAAATTTTACCTAGGTTATTCTTCTAATTATACAGAATCCTATAAAGATGATTTTGAGGATCATCCCACTCTATCAGATTATGTTCAGGGTTTTTTGAATCATCTTACAGAGCAGCCTGACAGTTTTGAAACTGAAATTGAAAGTTTGCAAAGACCCTGAATGACTGGGTTACAACAGATGATGGTTTGCAAGAACTTGTAGAACTCACCTATCAGCCGGGCTCGGTGGCTCAGCCTGTAATCCCGTGCCTTTGGGAGGCTGAGGTGAGTGGATTGCCTGAGCCCGCGGGTTCAAGACCCGCCTGGGCAGCGAGACCTCATCTCTACAATAAATCAAAAAATCAGCCAGGTGTGGTAGCGTGCGCCTGTAATTCTGGTTACTCAGAAGGCTGAGGCAGAAGGATCGCTGGAGCCCAGCAGGTCGAGGTTGCGGTGGCTGGGAGCGGCCACTGCACTCTAGTCTGGACGACAAAGTGAGACTCCAACTCAAAAAAAAAAAAAGAACTCACCATCAACAGGCCATGTGTATCCTAAATTTTTCCTACATAGAGGCTCACCTGTATAATTACCTGTCCCATCTTCTGACAGCTGGCCCACAGAATGGCACCTTCTGCCAATGTGTACTTTGAAGATGTCAGATTGAATATGAAGTTAGAGTTCAAGCTGCAAACGGGGATAAAATCACTTAAAAATGACTTCACACATTTGTACTCTCTGGGAGAGCTTTATCTTAATCTGGAGATCACGGGAACAAATGGACAAGTTAAAGTTAACAAGAGCGCATGTTCTTCAGGAGTTGCTGCATGCCCTCTTTTCTAATCCTATGGATGACAACTTAATTTATACTGAAAAATGACTGAAGTTGACAGGATCAGTTATAGAAGATACCTGGAAGAAAATAGGAAAGAAATTATTCAGAGAATTAAAAATGTCCTAAATGCAAACTGCAGCAGAGATGTAAAACAGATGCTCTTGAAGCTTATAGAACTCTGCTCAACTAACTGGCATGGAGTCCATGAAACCTTCAGCATATGAGAAACTACACCTGAAAATAATCCTAACTACTTTAAGAACAAACCAACGATTTTGTGCATCCAATGGTGTTCCTGTCACTGCAGCTGATCCAAATTACTAAGAAGAAGATCAAAAGTTAAAGAGGACTTTTTTCCAGATTATGAAGAAAATGAACAGATTTGTCAGGAGCTAGTGATCCATGCTTGGACACTATTGATGAGATGGACCCAGAGATAGAAGAAACTTATTAAAAGTTTTGTTTGGAATCAATGTAAGCAAAAACAGTAAAGTTGAATTTCAACATATCTGTTTTATAAAGCAGTTTAGGTATGGTGATTTAGCAGAACACAGGAAAGCAAGAAAATGTGCCACCCTTATACCAAATTAAGGATGTTGAGTTATGTTATTAATGTATGCAACTTTAATTTTTTTTAACACTATCTGCCAAAATAAACTGTATACCCTATAACTTGAAAAAAACCAGTGATGCTGTTACTTCTTCCCTTGTCTCCACAGTGAGCGTCACCCTGGACCCACAGTCGGCCAGCGGGTACCTGCAGCTGTCAGAGGACTGGAAGTGCGTGACCTACACCAGCCTATACAAGAGTGCCTACCTGCACCCCCAGCAGTTTGACTGTGAGCCGGGGGTGCTGGGCAGCAAAGGCTTCACTTGGGGCAAGGTCTACTGGGAAGTGGAGGTGGAGAGGGAGGGCTGGTCTGAGGATGAAGAGGAGGGGGATGAGGAGGAAGAAGGGGAAGAGGAGGAGGAGGAAGAGGAGGCCGGCTATGGGGATGGATATGACGACTGGGAAACAGACGAGGATGAGGATTCGTTGGGTGATGAAGAGGAAGAAGAGGAGGAGGAAGAGGAAGAAGTTCTGGAAAGCTGCATGGTGGGGGTGGCCAGAGACTCTGTGAAGAGGAAGGGAGACCTCTCTCTGCGACCAGAGGATGGGGTGTGGGCACTGCGCCTCTCCTCCTCGGGCATCTGGGCCAACACCAGCCCTGAGGCTGAGCTCTTCCCAGCACTGCGACCCCGGAGACTGGGCATCGCCCTGGACTATGAAGGGGGCACTGTGACTTTCACCAATGCAGAGTCGCAGGAACTCATCTATACCTTCACTGCCACCTTCACCCGGCGCCTAGTCCCCTTCCTGTGGCTCAAGTGGCCAGGAACGCGCCTTCTGCTGAGACCCTGATCCCTAACACCTCCCCCTAGTTCCACAACCACGGAGGCTTCACTTCTTTGGAATTCCAGGACTCTGACAGGGAGAAAGGCTGCCTCATCTGAGTACCTGGAGCAGGGGAATGGAGGGACCCCATATCCATGGCCAGCCACCTCCCCAATGTTGTGGCCCTCTGAGATCTCAGTGCTCTTGGTCTACTGCCCTAATTGGGCTCTTCTGCTCTCTCCTGCTGGTTTCCTATGGGAATTTCTGACCCTGAAGTCCAGGAGGGCTCCTTTCCTTTTTGACAACTGCCTTGGCTACAGCTCTGCACTCTCTTTGATGAATAAGGGCCCAAGGCAGCATTTTATTGCCCAGTATGGCAAGATCTGAGAAAGATCAGTCTATTGCACCATATTGCTGTCCCCAAGCCCTGTGGGTTCCCTCTTGCCCAAATCCACTCTGCTGTCCACCTTCTCTGACATTTTAGACAGACCTACCCCCACCCCAACTCAGAGTTAAGCATATGTGAAAATACTTAAACAGTGAATATCTATGGAGGCTTTCCAGGCCATCTGAGTCCTGGCGTGCCAATGGAAATCATTTCATGGGGTCCAGAGGAGAATCCATGCTTTTCTAAAACCAGGGATGAGCACAGGAGGCTTCCATAGCCAAGGAGAGGGTGGACTCCCTAGAGCCAGCTGGTTTTGGGGGGAAGGATCTAGATACATGTGGTTTTGGGGTACTAGTTGTGGTCAGTGATCAATAAATTATCTCTGGATTGGCCCTTGTGAGGGGAGTTTTTAAAAGAATTCAGAACACCCCGCTCTTGTACAGCACGTCTAAAAACGCTAGGGCAATTATCTATTGGAGTATTACCTTCCCTGCCTCAGAAGTTTGGACCAGGTTCCCCAGGAAAGTATTAAGCTTCAGTCCTTGGCTCTACTCAGCATCCAGGTTCTACTTTCCTAGGAGGAATTGGAGATGGGAAGACAGGGCAGTGTGGGGAGAGGAAAGGAATGCAGCAGGAGGCCACAAACCCAACAGGTCTTTATGTCAGGAGAAGGCATCAAGTGTCTCCTCACTGTCCATTTACCCAGCCTATGTCTCAGCCTCTCTCCAGACCTTCCTAGCACCCAGAGTTTAACACAAGCTCCCTGCTCAGTCAAATTGATCCAATCTTGTTTTTACTATTCCAAGTGCTCTGCCAGCCCCCGTCTTAAACCAGGATTTAACTCCTTCCCCCTGCGCTAAGATATTGCTCCTGCCACTCTAGGTCTCGGTGGTCTCTTAGTTACCACGTTGTCTTGGAGTTGCCCACTTTGTGTCACATGCTGCCTGAGTCACATGTACATCTTATTTCTGCTTCTAGTTTTGTAAGCTCCTGGAGGGCGGATATCGTATCTCTTGTATTCTCCGTGGCACCTAGTGCAGTGCTGGGCACAGAGTAGGTGCTCAATAAAGACTTGTTGAATGAGCGGCCTGCAGATACATATATTTTTATTATAACTCATGTCACCAGACGGTATGCTCATTATGATGTCTCTGTAAAAGCTATTTATACCTTCTCAGACTGCCTACAAAGAAATTCTATTGACAGCAGTAGCCCAGGGTATTCCTTCAGTATCTAGAACTCTATGACTTTGCTTTCTGTCCTCTGTTTGCATACATGCTGTCATTTCTGGAAGTCTTCCAAAAGGAGACTCCCATGTGACACAGACCAACCATCACCTGGCCTCACCTTGTTCCTCTGCTGCAGTGGCACCTCTGAGCTGAGGTCCAACATCTTGGAGCATGTGATGACTGTCCTTGAGAAGGGCATACCCAAAACCTTTCTCAAATAGGCAGCATTCCAAAGGAAATATCTACAGAGATTCAATCTTGCCTTCTAAGACATTCAACTGTTTAACCATTTCTTGCCCTTCCTTATTCTTAAAATCTGCCCTCTCCCTTTTCCATCTTAAAGATGGAAAACAGAGGGCCAGATGTGGTGGCTCAACCTGTAATCCTGGAACTTTGGGAATTCAAGATGGGAGAATTGCTTAAGCTCAAGAGTTTGAGGCTGCGATGAGTCATGATCACACCACTGCACTCCAGCCTGGACAACAGAGTGAGACCCCAATGCACATACACAAGCTGGAAAAGAGAATTATACAAAACAATCTCTAAGATTACACTAGTGACAGCATATTTCTTCCCTGTACTCTCATTTGTAGACTTGTTTAAGTTTCCCCTTTTAATTTTTTTATCTACATATTTAGTTTTTAAAGAATTATACTGCACATGTAGTCTATTATTTCTACAACACTTACTGGAAAAAATCTCCCTTCTCCAATCCTCTCCCCAAAGACCCATTCATCTTTTTTAGCAGATGTTTTGGTTTTTACCTTCATTTTTTCCCAAATAACTTGAGTTTGGGGCATTGTCCTCTGATTTCCCACTGTGGAGAAGGAAGATTTACAGTCTCTCTGCTCTCTGTCTCACCACACAGATGCTCTCTACCTGTCCCCATCGCGTTGATACTTAGCTGTTTAAATAAGTGTTCAGTCTTTATTATTATAAGTTATTATAAATAATCTGCAAAGGCTGTTTACACTTAGGCCATGCATGTGGCCATGATTACTTTTCATTCCTGCACAATTTTCAGAATTCCCTGGAATTAGTAATTGACTTTTTCCCCTTTTGATTCACTTCCTATGTCCTTATTACTAATTGAACCCCACACTCATCACCATCTGTCAGAAGTCACCAGATGTTCAGTTATCAGGTGTTCTTACCAGTTTTGTCTTGCTACATGTCTTCTGGAGCCTCCTGACCTTGAATCTGGAATAGCTGCTTATTTGTGCACAGTACCTGTTTCTTCCTTCACCACCTTCCTGGATTGCTTCTATTTCTTTATCCTATGTTTTCCTTCTTCTCAATTTACTTCATTTTGGTGAAACATCATCCAGTAGTTTCCGAAGAAATGGTGCATGGAAGTAGAATTTTTTAAATCTTGAACATCTGGAAATAACTTTATCCCACTTTAATATTTAATAGGTTCACTAAGTATAAGATTCTTGGTTAGAAGTAATTTTCCTTTATAACTTTGTCAAGAACTCTTGTGGCACCCTGATTTCTGATTCTTTGCATATGGCTTGTTTGAAGCTGGGTCTTGTTTGTGTTCTTACTCTTAGGTTTCAATTGTTTCTCCTCCTCCTACTCACCACACCCTGGTATTTTTATTTTTTGTAGAGACAGAGTCTCTGTTTTACTCAGGCTGGTCACAAATTCCTAGCATCAAGCAATCCTGCCTCAGCCTCCTAAAGTACTACAGACATAAGCCACCATACATGGCCTTATTCCTATTTCTTGATGTGCCTTTGTATAAGTCCCGTCCCCCATACCACCCCCCCCCCGTTGTGCTGATTAACTTAGTGAACACCTTCATTCCAGAATTTCAATTGGAAGACCTTTCAATTCTGGGAAATTTCATCGAACTATTATTTTTAGAGACAAACTCTCACTCTGTCACACAGGCTGGCATGCAGTGGTGCGATCAGCTCACTGCAGCTTCCAACTGCTGGCCTCAGATGATTGTCCCACCTCAGTCTCCCAAGTAACTGGGATTAGAGGCATGAGCCACCATGCCCAACTGAATTATTACTTGATAATTTTTCTCTCTTTTATTTTCTGTGTTCCCTTGAGTCTATTATAATCTCCAGCTTTTATAAATCTAAATTAATTTACTGAAAACTGTGATGTGCCAGGATGTTTCTAGGTTACAACAGTGAAAAGGTTAACAAAGTCCTTGCACCCGTGGAGTTTAATTCTAGCAGAGGGTGACAGGCAATAAGTTAAAATTTTAAAAATTAATAGTAATTAGCACTTTGCAAAGAGCCAAAATAGGACTGTGACAGATAATGACCGGGCATATTTTATAATGGGTGATCAGAAAGGGTTTCTCTTGAGAAGATGGCATTAGAGCGGAAATTTGAATGGTGAGAGGGAAGGTCTAAGATCACACCAGTCAGAAGTAATGGCAAAGTCTTAAGGCAGGGAGGGGCAAGCTGGGTACAGAAAGACTGTGTCTAGAGCATAGTTATGGGAGAGCAGAGACAGTGGTAGAGGTGAAAGTGGAAAGGTAAGCAGAGATGAATCACATGCGACCTTGTGGACCCTGCTAAAGAGTGGGGGATTTTTTTTTTCCTAAGTGCAATGGGAAACTCCAACTTCTGCAGTATCTGAAGCTATGGGAATGGAAAGTATTATAAGCAGAGGAGTAACGATTCCATTCAACTAGCAAATATTGACACCTGTTATGTGCCAGGCATTGCTCTTGACAACTTGAGATGCATCAGTTTGGGTTTTTGTTTGTTTTTTGAGTCAAAGGCTTACTCTCTCTCCCAGGCTGTAGTGCAGTGGCACATTCACAGTTACCACAGCCTCAACTTGTTGGGCTCAGGCAATCCTTCTGCCTTGGCCTTCCAAGTAGCTAGTTTTTAAATTTATTGTATAAAGGAGGTCTTGCCAGGCTGGTCTTGAACCCCTGGGCTCAGGCAATCCTCTCATCTCTGCCTCCCAAAGTGCTAGGATTACAGGTATGAGCCATTGCGTCTGGCCAGACGCACCAGTTTTTTAAAAAGTTCCTTTCCTCAAGAAGCTTACATTCTAGAAGGGAGAGAAAGACCAAAAAAAAAAAAAAAAAACATAGAAAATACAAAACATAGTATGGTAGAAAATATGTGCAATGGAGAAAAAATAAAATTACTTTTTTAAAAGATCAAGACAGGTGCAGTGGTTCATGCCTATAGTCCCAGCACTTTGGAAGGTCAAGGAGGGAAAATCACTTGAGGCCAGGAGTTCAAGACCTGCCTGGACAACATAATGAGACCTTGTCTCTACAAAAAAATATTAGCCAGGCATGGTTGCATGTGCCTGTGGTCACAACTCAGGAGACAGAGACAGAAGGATTGCCTGCTCCCAGGAGGTTGAGGCTGTGGTGACCCGTGATCATGCCACTGCGCTCCAGCCTGGGCAACAGAATGAGATTCCAACTCAAAAAAAAAAAGACCTATTTAAAGGAAGGAGTCAAGATTAATGACTAGATGAAGCTCCTCCATGGAGAGGAACCAAAATAGCAAGTAGATCTTCATACCACATAAATCATCTGAGATAACACTAGGATTCAACAGAGTGAAGGGAAATACTGAAAGCAAGTAAGGAGAGCGAAATGAAGCAGCTTGTTACCTAGCCGAGATCTGCTGGGATCTGGGAGAAGCTCCTGGACAGAGAGAAAGGGTAAGAGTGAAACCCCCAGGACTCACATTTCCACCATGGGCTTTTATAATCTTAGCTACAGGAGAATCCCTTGACCCGTGTGGGCCTTGAGCCTAACATAAGGAGCTACCTAGAGATTGCAGAGACATTGCTCCAGAGAGGAACTCAAGCGGAGTCCCATGGGCATCTGAGCCCAGAGCAATTCCAGCTTCCCACTATTCTGAGAGCCTGGCTGCCAGGGGTCTACATTTTTCCCTGAGGTCAGTCTCATGCTGCTGCTGCTACCGCTGTCACCAGGCAAAACAGGAGGCCAGGCGCTTCCACATATCCCTAGGACAAATCCCACTGCTGCTGATATGGGCTGCTTGCTGTGAGAACAAGATGTAAGCAGATTGTACTTCCCAAAGCTGCCTTCACCTGAGGGGGCCCTGCCCTCCCTAGAGGCAGGCCTATAGCTGTTGTCATTCTGAGAGTGTAGCCACTGGGGTCTGCATCCCACCCTCAGGCCTGGCTGAGGCTGCTGCCCCTGCTGTCATTGCTGAGTTGAGGAGGGCAAGTGGAGACCAGGCACTCCCACGTACCCCTAGATCAAATCTTGCTGTGAGATAAAGGTGTGAACAGCTACTTGCTCACACTGCTCTCCCTGCTCACCCTGCCCTGCGGCTGGCCTTCAGCACAACCAACACACCTCACCTGCATTTCCCCTGCAGCCTGGGGCCCACTCCATCTCAGTCTACCACAGACAGTGCCTGAACATACACAAGGGGGCCTGAGGACAAGTTTGCTGACTCGGTCCTGCCCTCCTGGCACTCAAGCATGCCATCCAAGGGCCTGGAAGTGCCCAGCACTGTCCACCACCGTTGGCACCTGATCACTCCTGCCAGCACTTGAGATCAACCCAACTCAACCCACCCCCATACACCACCAGTGGGCCAAGGTACTAGCCGGCCCTACCTGTTGTAGCCACTGCTAACACCAGCACAGACCAGGTGGATTTTGGTGGATTGTTTCACCACCACTGCTGCCATTACCCACATCACACCAGTTGCTCAAGGGCCTGAGAACAGAAAGGATGAAATACGAAGTGGTGATAACAATTATAACTCATTCAAAATGTTTAGCTGAAAAGAGATGCTAATAAGTAGGATGCTAGGTGGGAGTGCTGTGGGATGTGTTGGATATCATTTGTTTGCCACCATAGTCTCCACCTACTCTGCCCA